TGAAAGTCACCAACAAAGCTGAAATTATTTTGTATAAATGACATATAATAATTTATTCGTTTAATCCTTGTGGTTAAAGATTTTCCAACAGATGATCAAATATAATGAAATCTCAAACAGCGCATTCACCTCTCAGTCTCTTTAGCTCACATGCACTCTCGTTTGGTTTTTGTTCTTCAACTTTCCGCCATGTAAAATTGTAAACCCAAGTAGTGATCTGTCTTTCAGCTTTTTATTTACAAAGAAAAAATAGAGGAAGAATTGTTGGAACGCAACATCGATTGCGTTTATTTCTTAGCCTCTCCCCTCACTTGCAAGAAGGTATTTATTTTCTCTTTTGGGCTATCCGGAAATAAGCTTTTCCTCTTTCACACTTTCCTATTTTCAGTTCGCATTGTGTGTGTTTTTTGTTGAAATTTTTATGTTTCTGGAACTGCGTGTCAATGATCTAGATATTCAGTGTTAGTTTTGAATCAAAACCATCTAATTTTCTTTCTTTCTTCTTAATCAAAACTTTTAGTACTCCTTATAAAAGATATTCAGTCCATCAGAATAAAAGTGAAATAGGGTCCTAGGCTAAAATTTTTTATCTTCTTGTTTGATTTTTCTTTAAATCAAGGAATTGGTTGTGAGTATCGATATAGTGAAATCGTCAGGCTCAATCCGAGAGACTGATGGTACTAGTTTACTAGGAATTGTATTGATCCGACCTGTGGTTTTCGGCGTCCTGTGAGCTCGTATTCTTTTTAATAAGTTCATGTTGATTATGGGACTGATATATCGTGAACGAATTGGATTTTTTTACATGTTTTGGAAATTTTATAGTTAAATTGTATTGAATTATAGCTTTAGAAGACAATTCTGCATGCATGCAACTTGAAAGGCAACATGACAGGGTAGTATATTTGGAGTAACTACTTGACCCTATCATGATGCCTTTTGAGTTATGAAAGAGACTGAGAGGTGAATGCGTTGTTTGGGATTTCATTATATTTGATCATCTGTTGGAAAATCTTTAACCACAAGGATTAAACGAATAAATTATTATATGTCATTTATACAAAATAATTTCAGCTTTGTTGGTGACTTTCAACAATGATACTTAGTTCATCTTAGTAGTATTTATCAACTCTCCATTTCTAACCCCATTTTTTTCTCACAAGCATTTTATCGAACATCTATGCTTCACCTGAGATGACTTGTATCTAACATTACACCTTGAATCATTGATGGTCCCGATAGTCTATTGGTCGGGTTTTCTCTCAATGGACCCTTATTCAAGTCAACACCTCCACATAATTCAAAGTTAGATTGGAATTTCACATGCATCCCCGACTGAAAAGTTACGTTGAAAATGAGAAGAGGAAAGCCAAAAAAGGAAAATCGAGATCGAAAAGGAATTTGGGGTTTATAATGAAATTAAGGATTGTGTTGCAAGTTTAAAAGTTGGGGGACCTAAATGCAAGCGCCTGAAAAGTTCAGTGACCATATTGCAAACGTACTAACGGCAGTGTAACGATGTTAAAACGATGTTAAACGGCCGATTATGTCGGGGACCATATTGCAAACGGTCGATTACGTCGGGGACCATATTGTAAACGGACTAAATGTTGAGGGACTGTATTGTAAGTTTTAAAAGTTGGGGACCTAAATGAAAGCTTTAAAAAAGTTCAATGACCATTAGTATACTTTACCCTTTTATTTATTAGTTTAACATACTAAAAATGCTACAAATTAAGACTACCACTTAATGTAAGAGTAGGTGTAATGATTTGAATATGATATAAATAATATGCGTAATAAATAAGATTAATATTTTTTATAATACTGAAAAAACACATATAATTAAAATTATGAGGTATTTTATTTATCTAATTTTCACACGTCTACAGGAAAAAAATTCACATAAATTCATCAAATGATTTCAGAGGTTAAATAAAGTATTATTCTCTAAGCTTTGAATTCAAGCAACTACGTCTATAGGTGTGTATGCGTTGTCAATAACTAAAAAAATGATAAACCGATACTATCTTTAATTATCCTATTAAGAAAAAAATTACATATAACTCAAAATGAGATTTATTTTAGTCGTCATCCAATTTTATTTTCTTTTTTTTTTTGCATCGAGTAAATGATTTTGCGTCCTAAAATAATGTTATCAATAATACTTCTTCCAAAAACAAAGTCATCTTGATTCAACATCACCCATTTTGGTAGGTATATAATTTTGCATATAAAATCATACATAAGCTGAGCATAAGAAATTGAATGAAATAATCTTGTGAGCCAACCTTTGATAAAAGGATAATAAGAGTTTGATTAGTTTGATCATGTGCCATGTACAATCCCACCACCAAATACATGTTGAATTTGTGCACACTTTTGCCAATAATTCTCAATTCTTTTATCAGTGGTGTGAGGCTACACTATATCAGATTAGGTCTATATTGGCCTTTTTCTCTCATATAGCGAAGTTTTAAAGCGTAGTTAAAATTACTCGTGGCATAAAAAAATGCCACAAGAAACGTCGGCTATACAAGCACCACAACGGTTAGCAGCAGTTTACTTTAACAAGTGTCGTAAAAAGTCAGATTAAATAACGGCATTTTTTATACAACATCGTGAATAATTATGTTTATAGTGTCGTTTTCTTCACAAATGCCGCTAATAATTATGTTTATAGTGTCGTTTTTACTCATAAACGCCGCTAATTATATACCTTATTAGTAGCATTTTCCATCCTAACTCCACTAATCACAATTGATTTTAAAAATGTTTTTTTGGTCCTTTGTATTGCCCAATTTTAACCTATAACAGTATCCAATAACAACCTTGAAATGCAACTAAGATTCAAATTAAGTAAAAATACGTAAAATATGAATAAATCAAAGTTTACAAACATCCAATTGAAATGTAATGTAGTTCAACATTATTCCCTAAAATAAACAAAGTATAAACCTAAGAAATCACTTAAGATGCTTCCATGAAACGACAAAATGATGACTCCACCATAATTTGAGATGCGAGTGCTTCGTGCCAACTGTAGAATAAGATTGTCCACCATGTGCTTTCTTGCTGCCTAGATGCGAACCAACTTTGTATCTGAGACACAATAATGAAATTAGTGATCACAGTACATATCCAAAAGTATTCAACACAAACAACAAAACCAATATCGAAAGAAAATATGAGAAATAATAAGATAATATTGCATCTTAGTCCAAACTATAATTATTAAAAAAAACTGAAAATTTAAGTGAAAAACTCAGTAGAATAAAAGCTTTATTTAATAAACCAACAGCAACTCAAGCTTTAAACCAACAACTCGAGCTTTAAACCAAAGCATGCATGAAGGATAGATATCTTTTGCAACATCAACGAAACAAAAAACAAGTTAAAAACAAGTTGAAAAGGAGATAGGAATTACAAACCAAGCTCTTCCACATTAAATTCGATTGGTCGAGACACTTCACCTTTTCTATTACATGAAAACCAACATTCACTGTACATAGCTATGTTGGTAAACGGCCAACAGATATAAATATTTCCTTGTATATATAGCAAAACAGAGTTCACTAACCGTATCCCATTCACCTTCATATCACTTGTAACCACTTCTAACATATCCTGCAGCAAGAAAACCATATCCAATGCAATGGGAATCTGTAGAACAAGACATAGAGTCAGCAAAAGAAAGCTGAGGTAACTAAACCAAATGGTAGTCTGAGGGAGCTTATAGACCTTGCTTACCAGCAAAAACGGAGGCCACTGAATCAGTTTCAGGCTGGGATCCGGCATATAAGGAAAGAGTAAAAGGTCCATCTCACTGTCACTAATCAGGTCCTCTTCACGAAGGCTACAAATCACGTCATTCTATAACTGAGCGAATTTCGCAGCTTCATTTCTTTTGTTTGCAGTTACCTCAGTAAATCAAACATCAATAAAATGGAAACTAAATCAAACGTTGCCACGAAATTGCAATATAAAATTCTTAACCCCCCAGTCACAACCCAAACAAAACAAACAAAAGGGTATCCAAGGAAAAAGCATAAATGAAGAGAAATTCGCACGAAAGAAAAACAATTCAACACAAAACAAACTTAAAGAGGGAAACAAAACCTCAAGTTCGAAACAATTTGCATTGGCACGAAAAGAAAAGCGAAAAATCAAAAGGGGATTCCAAAATTACTCACCAAAGTCGTGTGGGCAAGTCCAGGCACATCAAATCCAGACTCAACCCGGGTTCCATTATCAATGGCCTCAAGAAGCCCTTACTCTTGTTCATCAAAGCAAATAGAGGAAACGACGTGGAATAAATGGGGAGGGAGGGCAGATTTCTAGAGAGCTTTAGGGTTTAATTGTTGGAGACGACGGAGAGAAGTGAGACTGAGGAGAGGCAGCTTTATAAGAGAGAAAATATAAAATAATTTAATTAGATTAAAATAAGATGATAAAGACGATTGAAGAAGTGAAGAATCTTATTTGTTCTCCCACAACGCCACTAAAGTAGGTGTCATAGTGGCGTTTTTCCAAAAACACCATTTTATATTAATCTATTGTGGTGTTTATGTTTTGTTACACAAAATTTTATATTAAAGGATGTGTCTATAATAGCGTTTTTCAAAAACATCACTGTATATCGATCTATTTCGACGTTTGTATAATAGGGTCGCTATATGTTTAAAATTAATATTGTTTCCTCCAAAAACACCGTTGTGGGCCTATTTTATTATAGTGCTAGTTACTTTTTTTAACAAAAAATTAAAAAAATAATATATATATATATATATATAATTAAAAATGTAAAAGTTATAAAAATTAATAAAAATTAAATAATTGTTATAAATATATTAATTTTTCAGTCAATTAATTTAATTTAATAAAAATGAAAGTCCAAATATCAAAAGATGTATGTATATATATATATATAAAGTAGATGACGAAAATATTTTTCAAAAGTTCAAATGCCAAAATATCATTAAGCCTGAGCAAAACCAATATTGATAATACACAAACATACTTAAATTTATAGTGACGCATATATGTTGCCTCAAAGTACATAAGAGATTGTTCATAAAGATCAAGTTACCAGTTGATATATAGTACTAAGATTGTTACAAACCCTGAAATATTCATAAACTTCAAAGCTACTATTATTCTTCAGAAACGCCCTCCATGCTAGAGAATTTCAGGCTCTCAACTTGGCTAATATATAGGTAGCTTGAGCTATAATAAGATAACTGCAGCAGCCCTCAACTCCCTTGCAATCTTCCATTACATCCTCTCATGTAAGTTTGGTTGCATTGGCTGCACTCGGAACGCGAAAGGAATCTGCGAGTTGTAGTCTGCCGCGTCGTGAGCAGCCCGCTGGTATCCCTGGTGATCCATCTGCACTCTCGTGTCGAATGACATTTGCTGTTGGGTCTGCAAATCAAAACAGAAATGAAAAGAGTGATGTACATGTTTAATTATCTGCATATACCCCCGAATTCATGAAAGTCGGACAAGAACGTGAATACCCATGTTTAAGGGAGACATAATTAATAAAATAGGTAACTAATCAAAGAAAATTCAGATTCTAGAATAGATACATGTTCACCCTTAATAAAGCATACGTCCACCACTATATATGCTATACATTAGGTTCTTATTAAATCTGTTGTCGGAATATATCAAATAATTTTTCACATCTAATACATACTAACATACAAATATATATATTTTACATTCATTAGGTTATTTATGAATTATGTATGATCTCGCTATTGTTTTAAATGCATGCACAAATCCTACACTATCTTGTTCATGTATTAATCACCCTTGTCCCCTCTACTCTACAAACTCATATCTATATTATATATTAAATTTTTAATTGAACTGTTATCAGGGGTCAATTTAACTATAAAAGGATTAAATTTTTTATTTAAAAAGAAAAGTGCAGCATAAGAGGAGAAAAAAGCAATACCATAATGAAATGCAGCTGCTTATTGTCATCCTCCAAGAATTTCGTCTGAAAAAACACCCCAAAAGTGTACAAGTTAAGCAAATCATTTAGCAAATAAAGTTCAACATTTCGTAGCTAATTGAAGAAATGGTAATTCTATCTTCAATTTAAACCTAATTATTAACAAAATTAAGCTTACATTTTTCCTTGCCACATCAAGAACATCCATCTGCACACAAAGAAATAGCAAAGGAACCAAAATCATCAGATTCATAAGCTATGACTCACATACGGAGAGAGAGAGAGTAGAGAGTAATAAGTATACTGGCCTGCTTGGCACGGACACAGGTGAGACCATTCTCAAGGGCATCCTCTAAGGCCATCAGCTCCTTGTAAGGCAAAGATGTGATATCCTCTCCTTTCAAATGCCTAATTTAATGACATAAAAATCATATTTCTTATTATGTTCGTATCGTATTTACATATCATAATCGTGTTAATTAAGTTCGTATTTATGTACCTGAGTTCAATCTGCATGCTGTCATTCTCTTTCTTGATTCTATCTATTTCATTGCTGAGATTCTGCAGTGAATTTTTGTTTATAACAAAAAAAAAAAGAACTGTTAGTATATCTTTCACAAGAAAATCATAGCAATATCATGCATGCATACATACATACATATATATATATATGTATATATATGACCTATGAACCTACGTATAGACATGCTGGTTAAAGTTTATGCTTTTAACCAAGAAACCCTAAAGCTACCATTATGAAACTAGGCAAATCTTACTGGATATCTGTTCAAAGAAGAAAAAAAATACGTTTAATTGTTATTTTAATGGATCTTCAATTTTTGCAAGGAAAAGGAAAGTTAAGAATGACATTTTTGTTACCAGATCTGTTCATAGACGATGTTTACCTTTCAGATTCTCAGATAGTTTCAAACCTTTTAGTTTTCTTTTTCACCAAACATGATAAAAAAAAAGGGGAAAAATAGCTAAAAGCATAATTGTATCAAAGTTTCATAACATCCCATTTGTAGATCTACTCGTATATTTCACAGTTCATCTGTTTTTTCACCATTTTTACCAAGAAAATGAAAGAAAATTCAACCTACCTCATGTTTAGCATCCCACAGCTTTTTCCCAGAAGTTCTATGATATTCGTCCAGAATACTAATCAACCTTCAACACAAAGAACATTAACTTTTTCTTTTTTTAAAAATCACCATGGAAAAAAGAAGAAGAAAAACGAAAACAAGGGGTTCATACTCGGTTGAAGGGCTGCAATATTCATGCATCTTCCCGGAACTAGCAAAGATGATGAGAGAAACTTTGGCATCACAAAGAACAGTAATCTCTTTAGCTTTCTTCATGATACCGTTCCTTCTCTTTGAGTAAGTCACATGCCTGTTAGTTGAGTTCTCAATCCTCTTGATCTCGATTTTTCCTCTTCCCATCTTGGATTTTCTCTCTTTGATCTTCTTCTTCCTTTTTTTGCTTGTAAAGTGATGAAGAACGGAGCAGAAAATGAGGTTATAGACGAGAAAGGTAAAAGAGAAGGAAAAGTAACACGTTGAAACACCCTATTTCAGGTTTGGAGATTAGCCTACTTTCTAAGTGTCATGGTACGGACGTATTTGTTTAGGGTTATCGGTATTGCACTCTACAAAATGCATTTGAATAATGAAATTGTGGAAATGTTATTTTCAATGATTCAAGGTCAAGTAATTATATTTATAGGTAGTGACAGATCTAAAAATATTGTTTAGTGTGAGTATATATATTAATAACAAAAAAATTTATATGAGACAGACACAAATAAAATTTTAAGGTGAGCATAATTAGTAAAATAAATAACTAATATAAAAAATTTGAATTTTAAGATGTGCACATGCCTACCTTGAATAACACTTATGTCTATCAATGTAAGCAAGATGTATGTGGGTGTGTTAAAAAAATTGACAAATACTAATCTTAAGCCCATCTCTAGTTCATAATATCTAGTAGGGGAATATTATTAATTGAGTGGGAGGTTTGTAGGGTTAGGTCTTTTTAAAACGGGAAATAGGACAAAACTTGGGAAAACTTATGATACGTTGAAAAGAAAACTAAAATAAGAAAATAGATGAATATTATGAAGGACACGTGTCATGATATAAAGCCATTGAAATCTAATAAAAAGATATACGATAGTTTTGTCTAGGGGTAAGTGATTGAACTAAACATGTTAAGTCTAAATTATTCAACCATCAAATCTAAACAAAACATAAAAGTAGAAATTGAAAGTGTATATTTTTTATGGGTGTCGAATCCAACAAATAATAATACTTGTTTTTAGAAATATAAATTGTAGTAGTGATAAGCAAGGTCGAATCCACAGGGATTGAGTAGACTTATTTTAATGAAAATTAAAGCGAATAAAGGGGTTTTGAAATTGAGAAAAAATCAAAAGAAAAAACAATTACAATCAACTAAGAATTTAGAGAAATCAATATCAAGCAAATATCCAACTAAAGATATAATTTCAAAATTGGTTCAGAGAATTGATCATAGATGCAATGATAAAATCTTCTACTTTTCACTAAATTGGTTATGGTTATTGAGAAGCTCTAACAACCTGTCTCTCCTTAGTTTCTTGATAATCAAGAGAAGCTCTTTGATTATTTCCCTTGTTAATGAACAACCCTAGACAAGCTATTAAGATTTAATCCACCAATAGCATTAACCACTAGAGGGACCACCAATTCTATCCAACGAATACACAAGCTCGATTCATTTAAACTAGGTTCTATACCTTAATAACATAATCAAAATCAACTATGTTACTTTACCACTAATATTAGAATGTTTAAACAATTACGGATTTAAAGTTCTAAATGGAAATTTATCAACCTGATAATTGAACAACGGGCCTTTTGCACAATAGATCAAGACAATAGTTCTTAATAAAAACAGAAGATATATAAATAGCAAAGAAGTAAAAAAACAATGAAAATTATTTAGATCTCACAATCCTTGAAGAACCAAAACTTTAATTATCCTTCAGTTGGAACAAAAGTATTTAGCCACTCATAATTGAAAGAACACAAAAAAGAAAAACTTAAAGAAAACTTAATGAAAAACTTGATGTAAAACTGATGCCTCCTATGAAAGCCCTAGCTCCCCTTTTATAAGGACTTCCTTATTCTAGATAAGGAAGTTTATTAAAAGTAAATCACACAAAAATAGGAGTTTTAAATACCCTCATCTTTTTCTAAAGATAAGAATAATTCAAAAGAGTCTTCCAGCCGTCATTAAACTCCTTTTCCCTTGTAAATTTATAACCCTAATTTAGGGTTGTACGGACTGGTACGGCGCGCCCACGCCTTAACTATAGACTTCTTCTGCGATAGTTCAGAATGAATAAACCGTGCCCACGCCTTATGCGAAAACCTCTTCTGGTCTTTCTAACTTCTTGAATTTCGATTTTTCCTCCTTAATTTGGGATTTTGTGGAGATCATGCTAATCATTAGATTTTGAACTTGTTTAATCCAAATCTTCAACCTAATCCACAAAATATGAAATATAATCAAAATCCATGATTTAAGCAATTTTAGTTATTCAAATATGAGGAAAATATCATAGAATATATGTCTAATATGCATCTTATCAAATTCCCCCACACTTAAACCAATGCTTGTCCTCAAGCATACAATAGTTCAAATTCATAACTCTTCTCGACATCAATCCTTCTTCCTCATTTGCTCCTCATTCCAAAATCAAAATTGTCATGCCTTAAAGACTCAAATCTAGGCACAAGTAAGGAACGAGCAATTCATAGAATAAATTCTCATAAACCAACACACATGAATAATCACTTTATCAATCTTTTCGAAATCAAAATGCAGTGGGATCTAATACCCTCACATTGGATTCACTCAATACGCTCGAAGTGTTTAGGGTGTCAATAAACTCTCAAGCCAAAATATAGAAAGATTTTTACCATAAGCTTGCTAACCTATCATATCCCCACCACTAATTAATGAATTGAATGCATAAAAACCTCAGGGTCTTAAACAGAGTGTAATGGGGCTTAGGTGGGGTTTTTGCAGGAAATGAATTTGAGTTGTTTTATCGAATGAGTCATACAAACTTATCCACATGGAACTCAATCTCAAATGTTCTCTTCAAGCCACATAACTTTTTTTCATTGTACAATATCACTATATTCCAACAGCTTCTGATTTTCTCAAGATAGTTTGAATTCTCATGTGAAGAAGCTCATACAATCCTCCAATTCAAGGTTTAAAAGAGGGGAAATTAACAAAAAGGATTTGATATTTGCTTGTACCATGGTTAATTTCGAACAAAAAGGCTCAGGCTCAAAATTAGCTTTCTAAGGATGATAATTAGGGTGGGCTCTTTACGAAAGCTAAAAATGGTTTCACCTAAATGCCCTTATCGTTCTTGATGCACCAATTCTAAAATATGGTATTCGACATGTATATCAAAGCAAGTTCTAGAAAAATTAACTATGTATGGCAATCACTCAATCAAGAAATGGAGCATGCTGAAAAATGAGTGCTCATTGGCCTAAAAACTCACAAAAAGGGTAAACATGTATCAAATCCCACACATTTTTCATTCAACCAGTCATCAAGAGTAATCAACCAGTGTGTAGCAAATAAAAATTCAATTACTCAAGCTAATCCCCTATTATGCTTCAATTTAATTCGATAATTCAAAACAATCCAAATCATGTAAGGACAAACATCGAAAGAATCTGAAATTTTGAAGAGGAAAATCACAAACAATAACTAAAGCATACTTATTATAACTAAAGCATACTTGTTTTTTTTCTCAAAAATTGAAGTAAAATTATGTTCAAAGCAAAACCATATATGAAATACTCTCCTCCACACTTAATCCATACATTGTCCTCAATGTATCAAAAGTAGATGCCCAAAACCATAAAAGAATAAGAGTATAAAACTCCCCTGAAAATGTTGAGCATCATCCATGATATCTGTCACGAGCTGGGGGTGAAGGCGATGTGTGCAGGCTGGGTTGATTCTCGGTTTGAGTGGAAACGTGGGTCGGGTGGAGCGGGAAGGACGGCTGGTGGCGCGCATTCTTCTGAAGGAGCATAGAAAATAAAGAGAAGATGAGACACATTGATATATTAAAAAGTTTCTTTGAATCTTATTTCCTGAACCAGAAGTGGTGTTGAGTTTAGACGTGGGCACGTCTTATACAAAAACATATTCTGGATAGTGAGAGACTTTAGGAATAATTCTACTTTTGTAAGGCGCACCCAAGGGTTACAAAAACATATTCAGAGATGAGTAAATAGAAAGAGGCATGATATTTATTGAGGCTCATAGATCTAACATTGCTCTCTCAATCCTAAAATTACCGAGTTTACAAGGGATAATAAACATACCTGGATCTTTGCACTTTGGGGGTAGTTTTTTCTGGAGGTCAGTTGAAACATTCTCCCCCATACTTACCTTTTTATTACCCTTGAGCTTTCTCTTGTTGGTGCATAATTCTTTAAGAACTTTAACATATCAAGGTACTTGTTTAATTGCATCAAGTAAAGGAATATTTACCTCAATCTTGCGAAATATCTCAAGAATTTGTTTCTATTCTACTTCTTTCTTGGACTTAGCGAATCTAACGGGAAAATGAGGTTTTATGACAAATTTCTTCGGTCGTTCGCTTTTAAGTTCTTTGGGTTGGTTGTTTTGAGTCTTGATCTCGCAAAATGTCTCAAGAATTTCTTTCTCTTCTGCTTCTTTCTTGGACTTAGCAAATCTAGTAGGAAAAAGAGGTTTTATGATAAATTCCTTTGGTTATTCACTTTTGAGTCCTTTGGGTTGGTTTTTCTGAGTCTGGGGAGCAACAACTTCCTTTTCAGTTTCTTCCTCTAAGGCTCTCCTATATACCAATGGACTAGATTCCTTCAACTCCTTCCCACTTCTCAATGTGATTACACTAACATTTTGCTTTGGATTAATAATGGTTTGTGAAGGTATCTTACCTTGGGATTCTAACCGACTCACGGAGGATGCCAATTGACTCATTTGATTCTCCAAATTTTGTATGCTTGTTCTTATCGCTTGCTGAAATTGTTGTGTATTAGTTGCAAGTGATTTGAAAATTTCTTCTAGGGATATACCTGGCTTTGAAGAAGACTGCTCAGGTGGAAAACGTTGGAATTGCGATGGTCTTGGTCCATAGCTAAGGTTAGGATGATCTCTCTATCCTAGATTATAGGTATTTAAGTAAGGATCATACTTTCTTTGTGGTGGATCGGGAAACCTTCCAACTGCATTGGCGTACTCATGAGAATCATCTTGAAGTGTAGGGCACATGTCAGTTGGGTGGCCAATCGCAGCAGATATCCCACAAGCTTTCACTTGCTGCATGTTTCCTATAACTAGTTGTTGAACAAGAGAGGTGAAATACGATAATTGACGTTCAATGGAGGATGAACCTACCTCATTCACCCTTCTTGAAGATGTGTCTTGCCTAAAGCCAAATTATTGTGAAT